TAAGGCAAATTCCTGAGGTTAGACAAAATGAGAGGGACACAACATAACATAGTGACCTTGGGAATGAAAAATTTAACAGACTACACGAGGAAAAGAACTAAAACTATTTTCAAAACATGTGGACCCTACAAAGCCATAGTTAGTAGCGGAAGTAGAAAAGGCTTGAGTATAAACCATTGATGCAACATAATTACATAAAACTGTACCAGGTTGTCCCATAAAGGCATGTGGTGGTGGTGGTCCATTGTAGTTGTCGTATGGGAGCTGTTGCGGTGACTGCGGATGCTAGCCGAAATATCAAGCGTGCGTCTTGTGAGGCCATACACGCGGCAATAGACACGACCCCGCCATGCCCTGTCTATCTGCGGCGACGGCAAACTGCTACCGCAGAGGCACAACATGGCGAGGAGTTAAGGACGCCAGTACACCTGCGACAATGGCTGGTGCGGCAACGGTGGAATCCTGACTACGTGAAAATAGTTGTTGTTCTTGATGGATCAAACATGAGACCATTTAGAAAAAGGGTAAGACCGTAAGAGTAGTGGCAATAGATTCATACTCTGGATCCAATCCCAAAATGATAAAAGTGAAGATGATCATTAAGAGATACTAGACAATTAATTTGTGCAAGAGCATCAACAATAACCTTGATCTCACGCACATCAATTCATTGTCTGATTATATTTCTTTCTAATGTGTGAAGGCATGCATTTTAATTCCATACATATTGCGGGACTAGCAGACATAACACGAGACTCCAATTGTTATCATATAGCGACAATTTTTGAAATCATGAACCTCAATTAAAATTTCATGGGAAAATAATGTAGTCAAATTTAGGAACGAACAATTTGGTCCCATATAAGCCAATGATAATATTTGGGGTTCATGATTTAAGGATTATAGACATCATAAATATATAAGAAAGGAGCCAGGAGTATGTCGTCTAGGATGCCCAATAGGTCATGTGAGACAAGAAAAGACTCAAACTGTATCCATCAAAGCAAATACTCTTCAACTTCAAGTAATTTGGTGATAAAAATATTTATAATTGTAGGAACACCAAACCCACAGTTTGAGCAGTAGTGGCAAACGAAGTGGATAGCGGTTGCAGCACCGACATACATATGTCGATGGGGTATACAGACGAAGCCGACAGGAGGCCTGGCAAATTTACCACCGAAGTGGGTTGCAACACATTTATATTTCATTTCATCACATATCATTTATTAGCCTTGTGTTTGTTAATATTGATCGTAATTGGAATTTCATATAGCTCTTTACTTTATTCAACTAACATATCATTTATTAACATTGTTTTAGTTGTTCTTTTCCCTTGCACCTTACACCTCTTGTGCCTTCAAGAGAGGATGTAATTTATCGCTGGAATTTATTTAAGTTATGACATCAACTTTGCTCAAACCTTCATTAAATATATTTAATTTATGTTAGATGTAAAGTGTTGCCCTATTTCCATAATCTCTATTAATTGTTTTAGTACTAATAACATCAATATTAAGTTTTTAATGATGCCTTTATATTTGAAATACTCTAATACACAAGTTCCTATATGTGTGACAGTGTGAGGATAAGTTGGAAGTGTAATGGTACACTCACTTTTTTTATAGATGTTGATTTTTGGTAGGGACTCGCATGACTTTTTATATCAATACCAAGACATATGTAGGCAGCGCAATCGCACAAGGCCCAAAAACACCAAAGGCCCAAAAATTAGTTTTTTTAAGATTAGTTATAACTTATAACTAGTCTTATAAAATGCATAAAAAAATATAAACTCGTTCGCACACCAATTTAGGAATGAAAACAGGCAGTCCAATTAAGAGCCTACAGATCTCATTACTAAAATATTAGCCGGAGACCGTTATTTATAGAACAGTAGTGCTAGAGAATTTTTCTCCTTCACCGGTGTGGGAATTGAATAGAAGACAAGAATACTTAGACTTCCAGGTCATCAAGGTCCAATGCTATCAAATTCATGTTTGCTCCATATACGAAGCATTATTTTAAAATTATTCCAAATATGGCAAATACACTACACAATTTTAAGTTTAAAATTAAATGATATGCTCAAGGAATTCGATCTCTTTTGAAATGTAGTGTATTTTGTTAACAAATACTTTTATTTTGACTCCTATTTTCGAGTTAATAATTTGTAATTTGACATAAAGCAATAATAATTTATAATTAATACTCCGTATATTGCACAATATATTAAACTTTTACTACGTACTTGTTTACATAAAAGACCCAATTTTTACTCTTGCACATGGTCCCTGCTTTGTCAGGAGTCAGGACCGGCCCTGATCATCGATACATAATAAAACGAAATGATGTACGTAGTACTCCGTACAAATTAGTTTACACTGTGTATACTTACAGAGTCAAGAATGTGAATTCAATTTAATTGAATTGGAAGCTGTTCTCTTCACCTGATCTGATGTTTCTGATCTGAATTTTTTAAGTTCTGATATGATCTGATCTGAATGTTTCTGATCTGATCTGAATCTTTCCGATCAGGTCTGATCTGATCTGAATGTCCCTGATCTGATCTGAATGTTCCTGATCTGATCTGAATGTTCCTGATCTGATCTGAATGTTCCTGATCTGCTCTGAATGTTTCTGATCTGATCTGAATCCTTCTGATCTGATCTGAATCCTTCTGATATGGTCTGATTTAAATATTTCTAAAATTATAATTATAATTATAATTTTATTTTTTTTATAATAATTAGAAATGTAATTACACATATATAATTTAAATATAATTATAATTATAATCATAATTAAAAAAAATTATAATTATAATAATTATAATAGGTATAATTATTATTATACGTATTACACTAGTTATAATTATAGCTATAATTAGAGGAAGCGGTCCATCTCAGCTGGTCGCCGACTCACTCTCCCTTATGGGAGGTCTCGGGTTCAAAACTCTATGGGGTGAGTTTCAACCTAGTTTACTTCAGCCCCCCCCCCCCCCCCCCCAAGACCCCCTCCCTCAGACGTCTCCTAGAGTAAACAAAAAAAACTATAATTATAATTATAATTATATTTTTAGTTATAATTATTTCTATAATTATAATTTTAATTATAATTATAATATTTATTTCTATAATTTTAATTGTAATTACCCCGTGTAATATATTAATAACAAAAAAAATACTAATAACAATAACAACAACAACCATAATAGTAATAAGAATAATAATAATCATGATAATAATAAATATCATAATAATAATAATAATCATAGTAATCATAGTAATAATGATGATGTTGATAATAATAATAATAATAATAATAATAATAATAATAATAATATCATTAATAATAGTAATTATAATAATAATTACAATAACAACAAGAATAATAATAATAAATTAATAATAATAATAATAGTTATAATTATTATTAATATTATTATAATTATTATTATAATAAAAGGGATAAATCATGTCTGAACTTTTCTGATCTGATCTGAATGTTCCTGATCTGATCTGAATGTTCCTGATCTGATCTGAATGTTTCTGATCTGATTTGAGTGTTTCTGATCAGATCTGAATGTTTCTGATCTGAATCTTTCCGATCTGATCTGATCTGAATTTTTCTGATCTGATCTGATCTGAATAAAATAAGAATAAGCAATAAGTGATAATAAGATTAAGACGAACAGAACAGCTTCTTGATCAGGGAAACTCAACCGACTCATAAACCATTTCGTATTTTGTTATATTGTGCAACGCAAGAAAATAAGAATAGTTGATGTTATAATAAAATACGTTGTACTAGATAGAACAATACTAATATACGATCAGATCATAAATGTTTAGATTGCACTAGAAAAGTTCTGATAGATTCAAATAAGGTGAACTACGCCATTTCTAAACATTTCAGTATAATTTTCATACTCAAGTAATTTACAACTCCATTACTTTTGCTTGGCCAAAGTGAGCCACCGCCCACGGGGTCACTGGGGTGGGACGTTTTGAGTCAAAGATCCCATACTATGATTCAAGATGGAATGTACCAGTATTACCAAATTTAATGAGAAAACAAGTGATATTAGAGCAAAACAGGAGTTGTCGAATATTTGACACGTCAAATATTCATCATTTTCAATGGAACCAAAAATCCACTATTTTTTTATTTTGGAAACATGATGAAATAAAGTAAAATGATTTACTAACTTTTCTGCGCTTCTTTGATATGAACTAGCAATCAATCCGTATAATTTTCGACGTGATTTTCACTATGAGTCCTTTAAAATTCGAAAACAGTCTATATGTGCTTTAGTACAGACGTAAGACTACGTACATCCGACCCCCTTACCCCACTGTAGGTGATTGGGGTGATCGGCACTAGGTCATCGGCACTAGGGTGATGATGATGATTATCATCACACTGTAGGGTGTTCGTCGGTTCAGTTTTGACAGTTTCGGTTTTATCGGTTCGGTTTTAGTCGGTTTCGGTTTTTTAGTCGGTCGATTTTGATCGGTTTCGGTTTTTAGTCCGGCAGTTTTAGCGGCTTTAAAAATAGATGAAACCAAGAATCGAACCACAAAAATTGAGTCAGTTTTGGTCAACTTCTATCGTTTTCTATCAATTTTAGCCATTTTTGCCGGTTTATTTTCATTTGACCGGTTTTTTAAGCCAAAAGTACGAACCGTAAACCGAATAACCAATGAATTAGTCAACTTCGGTCGGTTTCGGTTTTATCGGTTCGGTTTTGGTCGGTTTCGGTTTTGATCGGTCGGTTTCGGCCGGTTCGGTTTTTCGGTTTTTTTGTTCACCCCCTAATCGTCACAAACTCGCGGTCACCTATTTTTATAGTAGTAAGAGTGTAACTGTGTAACTGTGTAAGACCTTACTATGAATGTGGAAGGTCATGGGTGGTGCCACCCTCCAAGGTCGTCCACTTCATAAAACTTCTCATAAGACTGGCAAATGCACATTTAAAAAAAAAGTGGGGCAAAAGATAGTGCTATCTGACCGTATAAAATTATTTTTGGAACAGTTTTTTTAATTTTGTACTGCCACCTAAAAACATTTTCCTTTATTCTCAAAACTTTTGTACAATTCACTTCGATTAAAAAAAGTTGTTTTCATCAACTTGTTTTTTTACACTGAACATAATATTTTTCAAGATGCCATTGTCCATCCCTACTAATTTTCCTGCAATGAAACGAGGCCTTGGGAGTTGGGACCAAGCTACCAACCTGTAGTCCTATACACAGTACACACATCCCAGCATTCTCACCTAATATACGCCACTCCCAAATATTCAACGGTATAATTAATCTCAGATCAAACTTCAAGTATTCTTTATTAACCAGCACTGTGAGCAAAAACAGGTCATATAGGCATAGGTCAATGACAGCAAATACCCCGGATTCATAGTTAACCATGCTCCGCCTTGCAGACTATTTATTTGATGTATTTGTGTAGCCTGCATGTGGAGTAGAAGAATAAGCTTTAAGTGTCGATCCTGTCACGTCCAACATATGTTTTGCAAGAGAGACGCTCTTCGTCAATGCCAGCCACATGGTAAAGAAGAACCCAATCCAACCTGTGTCAGAAAGTAAAATGTTCAACTTTCATTGAAAAACTCTCATTGAAAACGTATGCATACCTTCATCCATTAGAACATCACTACAACACTACCAAACTACCAATAGATTAAGTTCCACCATCTGAAGCTTCACCTTTTATTGAAAACCTTACTTCACAGAAGAAGTTACTCTCAGATATATCCAGTTATCCACAATTTCATACCATTCAACATAAAAATAAATTGCATTTCAGAATATCAATAAACACAGACTACACCTTTTGGCATTGAAGCACTGTCCTTAATTACTTATCAGTTGTCACTAGCTTACTAGCATGTCAATGGCTCAATGATAAAAAAGTTTGGTGCAAATAATCCCAAAGAATGTTTCATATAAATCCAACAAAAAAATCAACATGTAGATTATATATACACTAGTGTCCAACAATTATATTCAACATGTATACACTAGTCTACATTTCTTTTGAGTAGATAGCAATGGATGACTGAATGTGATGTAGGTTAACATGGGTTGTGAAGTACTACCTTCCCGTCCCACTATCCTTGGGACATTAGAAAGTGACACCCATATTAAGGAAGATGGATTTATGCGTGCAACAACAACAACCAAGCCTTATTTCCAAAATAATTTGGGGTCAGCTAACATGAATCGATCCATGGTATCAGAGCAAAGAAGATGAATTTATGTGTACGGTATTGAAAAGGGGTAATTTGAGTTTGCACCCCATATTATTGGCTAAATTGGACTTTGCACCCCGTTTTAAAAAATCTCTGTTTTTGCACCCCAACCCCTTATGAAAAGAAAAAAATGCCCCTCCATTAAAAATTTTGTTGACCTTCAACATATTCTTGATTGAGGGCTTTTATCTTTTCATATGGGATTGGGGTGCAAAAACAAAGATTTTAAAAAACGGGGTGCAAAGTCCAGTTTAGACAATAATATGGGGTGCAAACTCAAATTACCTCTATTGAAAATTGGAAAGTATAAATGAGTTCAAACCACACAAATATTAGAAATGGAAATGGCAGACGGGATAGTGGGATAGTGGGAATGTGGGATCATTGAGACAGAAGTAAATGTTAGAGAAAATCCCCAAAGTAAGAGTAGAATAGGTAAGAATGCAGAAAAGAGTAGATATTTAAACTTCCCAAAATAGACAAAATAACACTTAGTGTACAAGACATCCATTGCATGGCAGCCGCCGCCGCCATCTCCTCCGGTCAGCCACTACTAAACCCAAATTGAGACTGGTAAACCCAATACAGTAGAAAGGCTAACACTTATTCTGAGGGGGTTGTTAAACCCTAACCCTAAATCCCAACTGACCCCTGAGTGTGATTGGTAAAACCTAGAAAAGCTAACCCTAAACCTACGGGGGTTGGTAAACCCTAAACACTATATCTAAATCTTAAGAGATAAAAAAGTAATTGGAACTCCTATTTTGAGAATTTAGAACATGTACTACTATTTTAACACTTTTACAATGTTTTGTTCCTATTTGGGGCAATTTCTTTATATGTTAATGAGATAGAATGATGGTACAGGAGTTTCGGAAATCTCCTTCCTTACACCTCATCCGAAGATTTGGGGATTTGGTGAGATGAGATCAAACTATTTAATAATAAATAAAGAAATATTGAATGTTGCATGTTACACTCCCTGCTGCCCGCTATCGCAAACATACTACCCTCAGCACCCACAGTATATATTTTCTCCCTTAAGTTTCAACAATTAATATTCACCACTGATCATACATCCCTCAGAAACAGACACGGCTAATCAAGCCCTAGGTTCGCTCACTCACTAGTCACTACCATTATCATTTCACTTCTCCATATCCTCTTACTTTTTTCTCAGGCAATCTCCATCCCAATTCCTATTTTGCCTTGCAAAACCAATTTAAGAGATGGTACTTAAATTAAACTACGACCTACTTTTTTCACTTCAAGTCTTTAACTAACACAATATCTGACTTGACAATTAGACAACTGTGTGGCAAAAACTCACTCAGAAATTTTGAATATCATACTAGATAGACACCTCTCGTTTTTCTTTATCTTTTATCTTCTTTAGCTTTCTATATGTTCTTATGTCAATTTTTCTTTTATCTTTTTTATGTTTCTTCTGTTTTTGGCTCTGATATCATGGATTGATTCATGTTAACCGACCCCAAAATCTTTTGGGAATAAGGCTTGGATGTTGTTATATACTAGATAGACCCTATAAACACCAGATAAAGGGGAAGAAGAATGACTCTAGTTGAGGAAAAGGAAAACAAAAGTGTGTAGCAGAATAAAAATGGTAAGGAAGAACTAAGAATGCAAACCATCTACCTGTAGCAATCAAGGTAGCAACAATTGCCGAGATTGTTGTAGTTGAAATGATAAATACAGCTAAAGATAATGCTCCAACATAAATGCCTGTTAAACAGGCAAAGAAAACAGCCAGGAAACCCCCCGCTACTGCTAAAGACACGAGCAGAGACACCACAATAACATTTATTGTTGTCAGGGCAAAGAAAAACATAAAAATTAGCAATCCTGTCAGTGCAAGAAGAGCAATAGTCCCAACCTGCGACACAAAGACCAGAAGAAAAGAAACTGAGTATATGCTGGATAACATAATGTTTGGTGATAGAGAGCATACAGGCAACATAGGTAGATTTATTCAAAAAGGGAAACAAAAATACAATATAATGAGTATGTACATGATAAGAGACTATAGTGATGGATCATAAAGATGCACATAAGCAAAAGGGTAAATTTAATACCAAAGAAGGAAGGAAGGGGGAAGAGAGAAGTTTTGCAGCACCACTATGAGCTTTATCATAGAGCATCTGTGATTTCTCACAAGTATGTCTTTTGGGCAGCGGGGTGGTTGAATAGAACCCCCAAGTCGGGTCAATTGTAGAGACTAGAGTGTAGAGAGGCACGAAAGCAATAAGGTATGCACATTTTAAAAAGAAAGAAACAAATGCCAGAGAAGAAAAAGTTCCAAAGAAACCATCCAAGAGCCCCAATGAACTCTGCTGCAAAAATACTAATAAAAGAGTATCAAGAATTTTCTGTTTCAAGCCCAGATTTTATTATAAAAGTGCTACCATCTTTATCATCTGCTAGCATTTTAGTTACTAAAAAGCTACTAAAGGCTAACAGCTACGAAAGGCAGATTTTCAGGAACTAGTAGTGCGAATGGTTAATCAAAAGCATAAATGTTCACATAACCACTTATTAATATTTAGTCTATTTAGACACGTTCATGTAAGTCAAAGGGCATGCTCTTAGAGAATGAACAAAATTGTTGGATGACTCTTATTCAATTCCTCCTTGAATACAAAAAGAATACTCCGTATTTAACAGAAACGGTTGATCATAAGTTCCTAACATAAGCACTTGATATATAAACAGTAACGGGTGTAGAGAACAGAAAAAATGGGCATTTTATAGAGCAAAAGAAAAATACTAATCATGGTACTGCTCCGTATAATAACAAGATCAAGCCCGTATTGAAAATGGATTGAAGAAGGCGAGGATTTCTGGAAAAACTCACAGAGGCGACGAGAAGGGCGCGAAAAGGACTGCCCTGGCGAGTCCAGGTGTAAATGCTGTGAGCGGTATTTCGAGCAGCTTTGCGAAGCACCTGGACATTTTCAGGGAGAGAGGCCTTGAGGCGGTGCAGGAGTGGGGCGGGTGCATCCGGATCCGGAAAGAAAACCGCAGATAGAATTCGGTTCAGAATATCGCCAAGATTGATCTCTTCCGCACGGGGCCTGTGTTCTGCCTTGGTGAAATTAGAGTCTCCTCCGCCCCCGATCGCCACGTCTGCGACGAGGACGCCGTTAGTGGCGTCGGCCTCAGCCATCTGACTGTCAGACTGAGTCATTCAACAGCGGCAGATTAACGGTGACTTTTCTATTTGCTACTTTTCCTTTTTAGAGCTAACTAGCAGTGATTTTGGATCCTGCCTGATCAAATAGTTATCGACTTATCGTCAAGAGAGATAATCACCAATTGGTTAAATTGGAGGACACGCGGCAGCAGGTGAGAAGGTCCACTTGCATGTCGAGCCTTCTCCGGAAGCCGGATGCACGCTCCTGTTATTTGTACGTGAAACTGAACATGATTTCCTGTTGGCAAAAGATCAAATAAGCTTCAAAAATGTCAAATAAGCTCTCGGAATTTTTTTAACATCTTATTGTCTAGTTTACTCATAACAACATAACTGCGCAGTTATCTTCAAGAATTCATTTGAATGTCTTCCCGATTGAAACTTTAACTGAAATTTGGTATGAGTAAATTATACTTAATGAATAAGATGCTCAAAAAAATTCATCAGAAAATTTCACCGCAAACCGCCCCAAATGACGACGGCCGGACAGAACCTCCTAAATAAGGGCTTATTTGACCTTTTTATGTAAGTTCGAGGATCTATCTGACCTTTTTCCCATTTTTAGAGAGAACGATCACAATTGTAGGTAAACGTATCTAAGTAGGACAAAGGGTGTATTCCATTTCATTTGACAGTCTATAGACTATCAATTTTGTTTTCTTACCGTCAATCGAGTACATTCTTATTACAAACGTTAAAAAAATGATGAATTCAATACCATCGATTATAGCTGACATGGTCACATGGCTAAAAAGTCAAGGATACAATGTGTAAACAATTTTATTATATGCTAACATGGTAAAAAAGTGTGGAGTACAAAAAGGATCACATGATTACAAAGACCATTCAATTATAGTCATATTTCTTTTTTTCCCTTTTATCATTGATGTCTCCGTTTTCAAATCACATTTCCAGAATAACTTCGTCAATCTCTAGATGTTCTAATTAATTCTTCACCATTCAGAACTAAGGAATAGAAATCCAGAAACCAAATATGAAAAATCACAGCAATCCTAGTATCCTACGATCAAACTCTTGTAAAAGGATGATTTAGTAAATATGAACAGACGAGGAAGAAGATAACATGTAGAAATCAAGTATAAGGATTTGAATAACACAAGTTTCAGTGATGTCTTTCATTTCCTTAATTAGTGCCAGCGGAATTGAACTTATATGACATATATACTAGATCAACGTGCGGAAGAGATCAATCTTGGCGCCAAATCTACAAGCATCTTACAATCATGGAACATAGATCGTACATCTTTTTTAGCACTCATTCATTAGTTTTTTAACAAATACATTTACATACGACTAGAAGACAAAAGGTTGCATCCTCCTCGGTGGCGGAGCCACTTTTGACTAAAAGTGTTCACATGAACACTTAAAATTCTGAGAACAAGCAAGTATACATGTATAAATTTTGTGAAATTATTTATTGTTCTTCTATTTTTTATTGTGTAAAAAATGAACAACCAAAATGTAAATCATAAATTTGCTACTGACCCTCCTCATCCAAAAAGATGGAAAAAGAAGGATTAGTTACATATTTGTTAAAAATATGTGAGCCAAAGATATACTTCGTATAATGCTTTAAAAAAATTATTATAGGTATGAGTAAAACCATCATGAAAGTGAATTTTATTTATTGACAAGTTGACAACTTAATTTCAATTACTCTTAAATTGGATGTTGATTTTTTCATGCCGTTCAAGCCTAATACTTGCAACGTATTTTTAGAAATAACTCTTCCTGAAATTGTGCAAAAATCCACCTAATAAGAAAGGCGTGACAAACAAATCATCTACCTGATCAAATTAGGATATTGTGTATGTGTTTACACAAACATGGATTTTCACCTAAACTGTAGATACTATCACACATCAATACTTGTATTCACACAAATAGCCTGTATAATTGATTGTATTCATATACTACGTATATGACTTGTAAACGGAAGGATCACACGTATTTTTATTGGATTTTTTTGACATGAACATGGTTTACCTGAATTGCATGGTCATGTAAATAAACGAATGTATCATACTTATAATACATTTGATTGACTCAAGTCATTGTCCTATCATTCATTAATATTTAAATTATTCGATTGTAATAGTCTACATATATAAGCATGGTACAGTATCATAGAATTCTCCTTTACAAAATTCATTTTTGTATTTGTTGTTAACGTTAACTATACTCCATGCCTCCGGGTCATTTATTTACAAGACGAATTTCCAAGATTGCATGCGCACTTATGTATATGATATATGATGAGTCTAGAACCGCTTAATAAATGAAACCGTGATTTAAATTATGATTAAGCGCATGTAAAAGGAGTTTAGGGTAAAAGATGTCAAATATTTTATAAAATGCTTCAAATAAGGTGTAAATTAATAACGAATCTCTTAGCCAGTCGGGCCATGTCAAGAAGATAGAAGTTAAAGGGAATTCTCAAATTTCAATTCCTTGCGGTTTTAAAAAAAAAAATCTCAATTCCTTGATGAACTAACTCAAATATTACTCAAATAGCTTAAATCTTATACTCATTCACTTCAATGATATTGATTTGAGTCATGGAACGAGGTTATTGACTTTAGGGGGTGTACCCAACATAAATTTTAAAAGATTTTTAAAGATTGTAAATCCATGGATTGTAACGGAATTTCAGAGATTCTATATGATTTTGATGGAATATTATGGAATTCTATATCATAGAATTATATAGAATTCAGTGGATTTCAATGCATTATCTTACACCCGTGTTTGTCGTTTCATGCTTCATTTGTCAATTGAAGACTTGAAATAGGATTGCACGAGTAATTAAAAAAACAACTAGTAAAGTAGTTTTACGAAGTAGCATGTCCAATTCCAGGAAGAAGGTGGCGACTAGCACTATAGCAATATAGCATGAAGCAGAGAGTTTGTTTCCCAATTGCAGAAGCTTCTCATGTCACCCGGCCTTGTCATCCTTGTAATTAAAATTGAAAACTTGACTGCTTGTTTGCAAACCTCATGATTCAAATTGAAATAGAATAAACAGACGAAGAAGATAAACCTAGAAATAGAGTAGAAGAAATATATCGGTTCTAAGGGAAAGAGTTTATTGGCCTATTCTGACGGGGGAGAACATACCATTCGAATGTCAGGGGTGAGGGTGAAATAATGGGTCGAATGAATTTGAAATCCGATGGGCGTCTACAAGATTTGTGGTGAAATGTTTTGTATGTACAAATCCACCAAAATTATTTAAAACTCATCCATGGAATGTTTGAGAACACTCTTAATCGCATAGATTACACAAAAATCTAAATCGGGAACACCTAAATTTTGACGGAATTCTAAAGTTCATTAAATCTCAATTCTTTGATGCTTGGAATCCAATCTTACATTCAATTATATAAAGGGAAAATGGAAACTAATAATCCAATCTTTTAGCGGTCTTCTTACAATAATCCAACCTTTTGGTTATTCATGAATAATCCAACCTTTGCACCTCATCTTCATTCAATTGTCCATGACCGGTTGATGACCTGCTATTCCAAACTATTTTCTCATCTTTGCAAATCATTATACCATAAATTTCATCTTTCACAAAGATAATATTTTGCAAAGATGAGAAAATAACTTGGAATAGTAGGTCATGAACCGACCAGGGACCAATGAATGAAGATGAGGTGAAAAGGTTGGATTATTCATGAATAATCAAAAAGTAGGATTATTGAAAGAAGACCACTAAAAGGTTGGATTATTAGTTTCCATTTCCCCTTATATAAATGATCAAAACCTAAGATGAGCTTGACAAAGTTCCTTTACAAGTTTCGGTATACCTTATTCCTCAATATAATTGAAGAGTTTAATAGTACTGTTTTTAATCATCACATTAGCTACCCTACCCATAAACCCTGATAGATATAGTTAGTTAGATCACTTAATTATATTACAAAAGTATTATCATTTATAGAGTCCAAAGTCTTAAAATGAGTGTTTCAGATTCTAAGTTCATATATTAGGAGTAAATGTGAAGAGGAAAATGGAGAGTAGTTGAATGAGAGAATCAACAATTGAATATTTCATTGAATCGGCCCAATCGTCCAAGCCATGGAAGAAATTAAAGGAAAAAGAGAAAAAATAAACGTCTATGAAAAAATCTTTTTTTGTTTTGTTGAAAGTGTTACATATGGAGTATAATTTTTTTTATTTAAACTCAAAAAATAATATAATATAATATAATTCAAAAATATTTATGATCTTTTATCATACTTGTTGAGTTTAATTCAATACGAAATAGTAAATATAGGTAAATATAGATATAAATGTGTATAAACTCTTTTATTTTATGTGGAACCCGAAAAAGAAAAAATCACGAGATATTTTGGGCTAATGTCCAAGCCGCTCTCATTCTCATTAGACTCTTCTCACCATTATAATGTACAAGTGTTAGCCTTGAAAGCCATTAATGGAGCTCCCGAGTTTTTCTATGGCTAAAGGAAGAAGAAGAAGATTAGTGGAGGGGGAAGGAACCAACCCTTTACATGCAGGGAAAGCATACTTTTAATAGCACTACTAGAAAAATAGCTATTTGCTGTGGTTATTTTTAGCTATTTGTTGCGAGTAGGCGCGGAAAATTGCAAGGCTGCGAACAGATCTGAAACGCCGGCTGCAAAATCAATAATACGACTTAAGTAGGGTAAAGACGAGCGCTGGTTTTTTCAGGACTTATCGCTGAGGTCGTTATACACCTGCAGCATAAGGGAAATAAAATTAAATCTCAAGTGTTATTTGCTACGGATTAGTTGTGACCGCAGCAAAAAGTTAAATATTTCCGGAGCAAATGCTGTGGTTCCTACTTCCTAGATAACCGCCGTTAATAGTTCTACTTTCTCACATTTTGCTGCGGATACGCCTACAACTGCAGCAAAAAGGCAACAACAAATGATAAAAATTCTAGTAGTGTAGGAAGGGGGGAGCTACCCTAATGGCCTGGGCCAAGTGGGTCAAAATGGGCCACATGGGATAAAGTGGACCGGGTGGGCCGTAATGCCCCTCATCGATTGGGATTCATACTGAGGTAATGTCTTGGGTCCCTAATTAGTAGTAGGTCGGGATAATATACATTTGCAATACTATTATATGTTGCACAACTTTGACCATTAATATATAATTCTCTATGGGTTAAATAAATAAATAAAAAACTTGAAATTTTAGAATGAGTGAAACTTAACAATATTATTTTTAAATAATTTATTAGA